ATATAATTTATGAACAATGTGCACAGCCTTGGCAGTGTCACCAGAATTCTCCTGAGAGTGGTTATCAGCTGAAAGCTTGAGAGTGAGAGACCAGAGAGATGTACATTGAGGTATCTCTTCTACTCTCTTATATCGTCTTTGACTTTCATTAAAAAAGGAGATGAAAGGAATTTTCCTGCCGGAAAAAGAGACAACTTCTCTATTTCGGTACTCGACGAGGAACCTGATATTGCTTAACTCACAGCTGCTAGAGAATGGAGTTTCTGGTCTGGTGAATTTTAACACTTTACAAATATTGACAACCTACAAGAGAAGTGGGCAAATATCAGTGCTCCAGTTTGTTTCAAGGGAATTGTAAACTGCATTTGTTCCTTGCTCTCTGTCTATTGTTGGTCTTCATACCAGGCTTCCTCTCGTGCCGGCTGCACTGTCCCTCCTTACGAATGCAAGCTGACAGTCTGGCTGCAAGCAGCTATGCTTGACAGGCGACAGCAGACAAGACAGTGTTATTCCTAAAAGCTTTGTCTGGAGTTCCCAGCAATGCAGCTGTGGCTGAGTTTTCAAGGATTCAAATCTCAGTCCCTGAAGGGATAACCACATATCGTATGTCCTATGGAGTCAAAGCTAAGAGCTTTCCTTTGGGACTGTGTTATATTTCCTTATTTTAGTGTCATTTGACTAGTTAAATTCTTACATCTACTGTAAGAATAGACAAGTTTGTGAGGTTTTGGGTCAGATCAATATATTTGATTTCATTAAGAACTGTTAATTGAAGACATTTTGGTAATGTAAGGTTTTGGGTCAGATCAATATATTTGATTTCATTAAGAACTGTGAATTGAAGACATTTTGGCCTATGTGAGATGCTGGTGTGACTTAAGCCCCAGATGTGATAAGGCTGTATGTTAAATCTGCGATTAGTCGTTACACAATCTCACAACAGTTATGTAAATGCATGTATCCTGTAGAGCCAAAGGGGCCGAGAGATGTATTCACTCTGTTAAGCAACACACTGTGCAAGAGCTTGCATTTCTGGAAATTACCCACTGCTCTGCAATAGATAATCTGTATTAAATGTGAATGTTTTGGGATGTGTGCATCTCTGGAGCTGAAGGGAGGCTCAAAGCCCTGCGAGGAGTGCCAATAGCAGCTTTACTGCGATGCGGTTTCTTTGAAACTCCTGTGGTTCACCAAGAATTGGGCCTGACTGACTTCACAAGGCCCCTTGTGCTGAAGTTCAAGGTGAAGATAGCCTGAAGGAAAGCTGAAGGAATATTTGTGGTGCTTTACAAAAGGTGGTTTAGGATGTGTGGGCGTATATCCATGTCAGTTTTGATCTAGTGAGGAAGATACAGGATTTAACACATGCAACTGACTGATACAACTAGAGAGTCTGTCTTCTGCCTGTTTATTTCAGTCCTGAATTATAAAATGGGGGCAAAAGCACTTCTGTATTTTGTAGTGATTTAATGAGGAGAAATAATAACTTCAATACAGAGAGAGGTGTTTAATTTAGGCACAATTTTGCCTTAAAAGTATGGGCTTGTGTGGCTTTATTGATAGACTTGCCTGTGAAGGCTTAGTTTGTGCAAGCAAAAAGCCTGCATAGCTCAAACCACTTCTCGGGAGAGAAAGAGAGGAAGATATCATAGTGGTAAAAGTCCTTCCCACTATATAACTGTATGTAGCCTGTGGCTTTTGTGAGTAAGAATATCAGAAAATAAATTTTGTCATTAGTATTGACACAGTTGTAAAAGATAGGGCCTTGGATAAGAAGGCACAGAGGATGAGAAGGAATTGCAGAATTTAGGAATAGATACAGCTAAAATACAGTTCCACTACAGAGCAAATGTTGCATTTGGTTGAAAAAGCTTCACGTTTATCTTATTTCTGAAAAAATACCTCAGCAGGGCAGGGAGTAGATTGAACACATTGCATTGCCAGGAGCGTGACCTCTATGCGGTGCTGCAACCTTGAAGAATTTGAGGTGGGGCTTTGCCAAAAACCTGCTTTTCCCTTTACAGCAAGCGTAGAATGTGGCTGGCTTCTTTCAAGAATTCAGTGTCGGAAATCCATCTCTGATCCTCTTTTGGACATATTACAAATCCCAACAACTTCCTTGAGTTCTGCTAGTAGAAGAAATAGTTTGTTGTCTGCTTTATTTCTTACAAGTTTTTCCATTGTTCTGTAGTAGATAATACTTTGACCTTCTGGTCCAAATACCTCTGGGTGAATGCATCATCTATAACATAAAAAAAAAATTACAACCTTTACAATAAGCCCTGCTTGGAGACTCATTTTCCTTGGGAGAGGAGGTTGCCAAGGCTACTGAACAGATTTGGATGATGCAGCTGCTCAGTCCAGATAAATTACAACTGCATTGTAGGATTGCTTACTAAAAGCCTCAGGCATAAATAAAAGTCGTGAGTCAAAGAGTTTATGCTACATGTGAAGAAGTATATGCTGGATGCCAGGATGTGAAATAGAGCATACAAGATCTCACCTTTGCTCTGATCTGCTGTACTTATTTATTTACCTGGCTGTTGCGAGTTCTCTGTTCCATGAGGACAGGATACAAAGAGGCTGGGAAGACTCTTAAACTAGTCATTAATTTGCACAGATCTAGCCATTGTGCTGTACAAAGCACTGATTTGGGAAATGGAAATCTCTGCTTTGCCACTGATACGATAAATGACTTACAGCAAATCAGTCTGCCTTTGCCTTAGTTTCTATCTCTGTGAAATGGGGTAAATTATCTTGACTTTCTTTCCAGACTAGCTTATGACTTCGTCATGTCAAAATTTTGTATGTAGAGTTAGCTGATAGACTGCATGTGTTTCAGAGCTGTATCACCAAAGCCATATCTGTTTCTGGCAAGACCTTGCTGTTAACCACTGAATACTGATGTTTGGTGTCCTCTGTCTTCATCTGATTTGCAGACTTTACATGTCTTCTTGCATACAGAACATGCTGTGTTATAGTCAGCCCTTTCAAAGGGGATCACGGGTAACAAGTGAAGATCGGGAGTCACAAGACCTATCTGTTGTACATAAATACTTAATGCATACTTTAATGTCATGGGTCTGAAGAATTGTGTGTAGGAATACGGGTAAGCAATAGGGTGATGAATTAGATCATTGGCCACTATGTCACGTAGATCTCTTGCTAACTGGAACATGTATCATTAGCACAGGATACTCAACACTGGGAGAGGTCAAAGTTGCACAAAGCAAGGTACTAGCCTGGAGGGTGATAAGATGATTTGATCTCTCAGCCTTTTGTGAAGCTAGAGGGGGCCTCGCCGAATGTTTTTGTGCCACAGTGGAGAAGCTACAATTCTTGGTCAAATTTCTCTTCCTTGCCTGGCACTCACTTGTAAGGGCTATTCTTCTTGTTATTCCATGATAGGTGAAGAGGACATAAGCTTAGACTGTAAAATAATATGAAAGCAGGGTTTTTTTGATGTGTGGAAATGAGTCTGTAGAAGGATGTACAAAAAAAGAACTGACAGACTATGAAGATTTTCCTTGCAACAAAGTTATAGATGAATATGAATTCAGTATGTTTGCATTTCCCTCAAATCAGAGGATGTTGTAAACTTTGTCACTCACCTCTAGCAAAATAGATACATGGCACCGAGTATGGCTGAGGGAGCATCTTTCTGAGAGAAAAGGAGAACAGTGTCAGGCTCATTGGAGTTGAATTGACAGCAGGATATTCATAAAAGAGATCGTAGAAGACAGGCTGAAATGATAGTTTTAATAGAAGAAGATAGGTCTGGATTAGAGAGATGTATGACTCATCTATTTATAATTGAGTAAGTGCTTATGAAAATTCACAGGCAGAGGATGTAGGGATACAAGAGGAACAAGGAAGGAGCCCTGTCAGCACCCACAGAAATTTAGAGGGATCCTCTTATAGGATCAAGTAGAGGTGGGAGGGGCATTAGGAGGAGCTGTAATTACTAAGGATATGGGAAGGGCAAAATTTCAAGAAGAGGATGATTATGATAAAGGTGTGTGATGGTCACAAGGAATGAAAACGGAATGCCAATTCTGAGAGTTTAAGAAGATTTGGGCCTTTCAGGATTTTGGTAAGAGCTGTTTCAGGGGCAGAACCTAGATTAAATCGGCTCTAAAGATGGAGGTGAAGGAGGACTCCCGACTGTGCGTAAAGCTGTGCATGTGGAAACGGAGGTGAACAGCAGTAGTCAAAGGGAGGTCAAGCCCGGGATTTTAATATTGGGAGTTTAAAGTGTATTTTTATTGTGAAGGAGAAAGAATTAAGTAGGATGTGGTTTAGAGAGGACCTGAGATAAGATATCCTGGGGCAAACAAAAAGAGTTAGAAAAGAAAACTAACAATTTGATAGTTGAAAGAAAATAGTATTTGAGAATTGTAGTTGGGAATTGACAGTGAGCTGCGAAGGTAAGAAATGTTACAAGCTTCTAATGAGTATGTAAAGAGTCTTGTGCTATTCTGTTAGACAGTTAACTAGGCTTGTAATGGTAGTCCAGGAAAGTGAGGAATATACACTGAGAATTTAGCAATTACTGCTTTCTGAAACAATGACTGGAAAGTGTTGAAGGGTTGTGATTTAGTCTAGATGATGTTTAGATCCTAGAGTAATAACAAAAAAAATCTTTGTGATATCTCCTTTCCTTCCAATGGATTTTTTGCTTTTTGAATGCCTGATCTATGTTTAATTTGAATATTTCAGTGTCACCCTCAAATTTCTTCGGGAATTTTTAGCCTCTATCAATTGTCTTGTTGAATTGTGTGGGCTTGTGAGAAGATAATGTGTGTATGGAATGATTTTTCAGCGTTCTTTCTCAGAGTTGTGTCTCTTTAACTACTTATTATTTGTTTCATTATTTACTTGTAAGACACTTGTGAGTGTAAACTCTTCTGTCAGTAAGCCTGATACCATAAACATTCACAAACAGAGCTTTGGAAGTTAATAAATAATTTTTCTCTCTTTTTAACAGATGAGATCATTTCATGCTCTTTCTTTGGAAGAGGTGGACAAAGGAAATGGATAGCTATTCAGACTTCATTGCAAAGAACCTCTCGTCTTCAGCTAATATGTCTGTTTCTTTGTCTGGACAAGCTGGACTCAATACCACTGGCGGTACTCCTTCTATGTCAATAAGCAGGCTTTTTCCAGCCCTGTTAGAATGCTTTGGAATAATTCTTTGTGGCTACATAGCTGGAAGAGTCAACATTATCACATCAACTCAGGCCAGAGGACTGGGAAATTTTGTGTCCCGTTTTGCACTCCCAGCTCTACTGTTCAAAAACATGGTGGTACTTAACTTTTCTAATGTGAATTGGTCCTTCCTGTACAGTATTTTAGTTGCCAAAGCTGCTGTGTTTTTCTTAGTCTGTGTTTTAACTTTGTTGGTAGCCAGTCCTGAGAACAGATTTAGCAAAGCAGGTTTGTTCCCTATTTTTGCTACACAAAGCAATGACTTTGCACTGGGATATCCGATAGGTAAGTAGTTCCTTAAGCTTTTGTCTTTAAAAGTATTTTTCAGTGTTGTAGATGTGTTTGCTTTTATTTTTCCATAATTTGAGAGTGACTTCTGAACTGAAGTTACAAGCTAAGCCACTTCTCAAGTCACATTTATTAACCACAGACCACGGACTTTTGATAAGGGAAGAAAACTGTCAGCTGCTATGGATGAGACAGAATTTAAAACAATCCAACTGCAGTTGTCTGTGTGATGTTGTCATGTTAAAGTAGATCAGGTTTTTTTTAAAAAAAGGATTAAAAATATAGTTTCAAAATTGGTGTAAATCACCTTACACTTACTGCAGGCAGTTTTCCTTATGGGAAACGGCCAGAGTTTCCCTCGAGACTAAAATTCTTTGCTTCACAAAATATGAGCCTGTACCTGTGGCCTCTGAAATAGCTGTAGTGGGGTTTGTGTTAGTTTGGCATTATCTCTTGGTTTAGCTCAAAAAGATAATTTAGCCATAATGTTCGTGTCTACTGGCTGTGGGGTGTGTGACAAACTTTCAGTCTGTTCAGAAGAAACTTCTCTTTTTTGTTCTATGTAACATTATTTATGTAGCAAATCATGCTTTATCCCTTAATCTTTACTCTATTGTGGCCAGTAGACATGCTTTAGGATGTAGACTTGGAAGAAGCCAGTCTTTGAAAAGCAAGATAGCTGCGTGATTTGTGGTAACTTGCATTTGTGTATCTCAAATGGGAGTTTTATGTGGCTGTGGTGCCATTCTCGGGATGTGTAACTAACCACCAGTCCAGTGGAGCTAAAAAACGAGCAAACAAAAAACAAAGAGGCATTCAGAGTATAACTTGTGTAACTATACTCATGTTCTTGTAAGCCTCTATTATGAATTCCAAGCAACATCAGTTATCAAACATAATTTCATGTCTTTTGCCAATCTGCAAGGCTATTATTTTCTTCCCTTTTGATAAGCAGGATTTTTTTTTTATTTTTCCTTTTTGTAGGTTTTTTTACTGGTATGTTAATATGCTTTTAGCAATATGTACTATGGTACTTAAGGCATGATCTGGAGTTGTGGCAGGCTTCTCCCACCTGCTGCTGTCTGAATTGCAGCGCTTTTTACCTGCCTTGAGAAGCTCTTTTGTGCCACTGCGGCTTTCAGTGCTGCCTCTCCCCAGGCTGAGCAGTGTGGCTGGTGTGGGAAAGCACACTGCAGGTATCAGGATCTTCAAAATACACCTCGAGTTGAAGGCATTTGGAGAGGATGCCTGGACTGTGTCATATTTGTTTGCTACTCCCTGAAGAGAGAGTACTCTGTGCCTCTCAAATTGTCTTGAGATCACTCTTATCATCGAGACAAGGTTAAGAACGAAGAAAGAAAGCAAATTAGTTTTAGCAAAGCAAAAAGCAAGGCATTTGATTACAGAGTTTAAAATACAGTTACAAAACATAAGCTTAAACATGCAGTTTCAGATTATATGTAACAACAAGTAGCACCGTATTTTGGATTACTTGAAGAGTTGCCAGGTTTTTTTTCCCTTTTCTAGGGCATCATGCTCAGGAGAATCTTGAATCTTTCATACTCGTTTCAAATTTTTTTGATATGTATAACATATAGACAAATGCAATTGCAAAGTTCTTCTTACATAGGTGAAAATACCCAGTGTCCCTCAGTTGCATCTCCTGAGATTTATTTCTCTTGAGAGAAATCAGAAGTCTATCACAAATAGGGCTGTGAGGATTACATCTATGTTTCTTGGTACTGGATTGAAATGCCAAGTAGAGTTTCTCTTTTTTTTCCAGTTTGAGGTTGTCTGAAAACAATTCCATTGTATCTTTCTAGTTAAAACATTCTTTCTACTTTGAATGACTTTCTTGTCAGATTACACTTTTCTTCAAGTATTTTATGATTTAGAAGATATGATTCATATTTCTTCGATGCGCAATCTAGCCAAATTCACAACATTTAGTTCATTAAGAGCTTTACTGGAATATTTAATGCAAGAGTAACACTGTAGATGCTTAAGGGTTATTTACTTCTTAGAGCTGTTTGTTTCCTTTCCTGTCCTTCTCCCATCCCCAGACTTTCCCCAGTGTTTGGTTCATGCTGTCAGGTGTGCAAACTTCCTACTGTTAGTGGCTTCTCTGAAGTGTTTGCAGGGCTGGGCAGCAAAGAATGCCTGCCTTATTTTTTTTATGTATGATGATGGGTAGTGTTTTGAGCAAAACCTGATCTTTTAATGGAAATACATTTTTGAGGGCTGCTTCATTTGAAATCTGTAAAGGAAAAAGTATCAGTATTGACAAATCTGTGTATTACAATAACACTATTTTAAAAGGCAGTTTGAACTCTTAGATAAAGTCCTGAGTCTTCATCCCCTGTAAGTTTTTTTTTATTTAATAACCACTTCGCTATTTTTTGCTGTTGAGCAAAGATATGCACGTAGGACAATTAAAATACAGATTAAATTTTCAAAGATCACCACTCTCATTTTTCACTAATCACAGTTCTACAGTGCAAACGGTTCAGATGCTGGTTTAGAGTGAAAAACAACTGGTACAGAGGTTTGCTAGCAGACCCGCCAATATAGAATTACTACAATAAAAAGCTTTGTCTGTTTGGTTTTTGTTACTAAGTGAGATGATACAACTCCAGCAGAACAGCTTCATCTAGTCTCCGGTGCTGTATTGTTAAAGCACAGGTGTAGCGGAAGTGTTGTGTGGGTGATGGCTCCAGTTACCATGACTTTAATGGTGCTAATTGTATTAAGCATGAACAACTACAGTGTGGTTTACATGTAATTTTGAGCAACTGGGATGTGGAAAATTGATTTTACTTAAAAAGTATTAAAATATCTTTAATTTCAGTTTTTTGTTATGATCAGCAAGCAGGCACCTTAATTTAATAAAAAGAAAAATTTTCATTGGAGATAGAAGTTCTGGATTATTTTCACTATCTTAATGACTCCTTAAGAGTGTTTTCTTTTTTTTCCCCCACTGACTCAGCAATCTACATTGGTTCCACTTTATGCTACTCAGGAAAATGCATTGTGACTTCATACATCAGTTAAATTACTTATAGAGCTTAATATATAGTATGAAGTATACTGTTTCACTTTACCAAAAATTAATTATTTATTACATTTTTCACTCAGACATTATTTACATGTGACTTGTGTTGAGTTGCATTTGATTGAAATAGGCACTCTGAGTAAAGTAGCGTAAAAGCATCGCTGTAAGGTTTGGAGTTTTAGAAAAATTTGACTTACATAGAAAGTGTCCAGCATGTTTTAAGTGTTTTTATTAATCAGAATATATTTAGTGTTTAAAACCGGCTTGGTAAATGCAGTAAGTAACCACAACCTTGGTAGTTCTGTTCAGTATTTTATTCAGAATTTTAGGACCTGCTGTTGTATATGTACTTTAATTATAGTTTGTAAGAGGAAAAGAACCTTTAGTGCTTTTTCCTATGTATTGGAAATCAACGAGTGGAGACTGTCAGTCTATTCAATCTAAAGAGAAGGCTGTTTATAGTAAATGCTGATTTAGCACTTAGTAGATCCTGTCATTCCAGATGCTTAACTAATACGAAGGTAGAAATCTTTTGGATTTTGAAAAACATAGTCACGAGGGAAAACTTTTGCAGAAAAAGAACAAGTTTAATATACGGGGAAATGGAAATACCTGCAACATTTGGGTACTCAGTGATCTTAAACTTTATTTAGTAATTTAAGAGTGCGAAGTTATCACATAGATAAGTCTAGTTGGTGTATTTATGCAGTAGGGCTTCCTCTTTTTTATATTCTTTGTAGTACAAATAGAATTGCACCTGCATGTTAAGATATGTCTGCCTGGGGAAGAAAGTATTTCTCTCTAACTTGGGTAGGAAAAACTAAAATGGAGAGCATCACTTTGCATATTTCTTGAAAGTTATTGGAAATAATAACATTATAAGGCAGGCAAAAGATAACATTTAACTTTCCAAAGGAGTTTGGGAAATTAATGTGGCATTCTTACACAGGTAAATACTGGATGGTGAACCATTTAAACAGCAATTTTGGTAGATTTAATTCGTCATTTAATACTTATGTAGGAAATACAACAGTATAGTCCTAGCAATTTTAAAATAATTTCAATTGAACTCTTTATTTATAAACGATGTTTAAAATGCAGACATGAAGCAATTTAAACGTTATTTTACTGCTAATGTGAGGAAGTGCTTCGTATGCCTAATTTCCTCCTTTTCCTTTTCAATATGACGTCATGAAATTGTGATAGGAAGACCAAATTCATCTGCATTCTGCAGGATTCAAGACCTTGCAGCTTTACAAGTGCCTTTAATATAGGGTATTAGAATTAAAAGAAAACAAAATCCTACTTTAAAAATATTGATGTTTTTTTTTTAAATCACACTAGGACAGAATCTTGTGTATCTTTCCAGAATCTTTTCACGATTTTTGAAGTGCTGTTAGCACAAACTTGACAGAACAGAAGAAGCAGTTCTGCCTTGACTCACAAGTATGCAGTAACAATGAAAATAAATACTCATGATTTAAAGTTCCTTGAGGGACCAGAACTACATCACTAACTTGCATCCTGAGGAGTTCCAGAAAATGAACTAATAATTATGTTCTAAAGTATTTTTTTATTTGGTTGGTGCTTTGCTGGGTTTTACTGAATCAGTGTAGAAAGATTGCACCAGAGTTACCCACACAAAAACTGGTGAAAATCCAGACATTTGGGACTCCCCTAAGATGAGAAGCAACTTGTGACCTGCAAAGGTGCATGTAATTCTGCACAAGTCTCATGTTTCAGGGGAGGAAAAGCAATTCGGGAAAACGCCGATTGTTTTCAGCATTTGGGATGACTCAAAGGGCATGTGGGATTGTTGTATTATTTCTTTTTTTTCCTGTAAATGTTGAATATTCATGGAATCGTTAAATATTGTTGGATAGTTAATCTTTGATCTTTAATGTGTTCGTTAGACAACTGTGCCCTAATGGTGACTGGGCATATTTCTCTTACTATATCATCTTATATTGACTGTAATTGTGGTTACCTCTGAAGGATAATGAAATATTTTTTCTCTAGTTTTCAGACAACAAAAATCAATTTCAATATTAACGTATTTTTGTACTGAAATGTTATCACTCATCACTTTTCATTTCCTGTCTTCTAGTTGAAGCTTTGTATCAAACAACTTACCCAGAATATCTCCAGTACATTTACCTAGTGGCTCCAATATCTCTTATGATGCTAAACCCTCTTGGGTTTATCTTCTGTGAAATCCAGAAGTGGAGGGATAACCGCACTGTGTCACAGAGCAAAATCAAAATAGTGGGTCTAGCACTCCTTCGAGTTTTGCAGAACCCAATTGTATTCATGGTCTTCATAGGAATTGCCTCAAACTTTATTCTTGGCCAGAAAATTCCCGAATACCTTGAAAACTTCCTTGATGGACTTGGCAGTTCGTTTTCTGGCTCCGCGCTTTTTTACCTTGGGCTGACTATGGTGGGACAAACAAAAAAACTGACAAAGGGTATGTTTCTTGCACTGATCCTTCTCATCACAGCAAAACTGTAAGTGTGATTTATGTACTTTTCTAATTTTGTTCTCTAGATGTTTTAAGCTCTGAATATGCTGGTCAGATGGCTTTTCTCTCAAAATCATTATAGTGATAGTATGTTTCACTTGCAGTATTTTGGGTGAGTGCTTCCCAAACTCTGATAGTATACAGCTGTTAGCTTTAAAAAGAAATTTTGCACACCACAAACCTGTTGTCAGGCTCTGCAGAGAAAAAAATTCAGGGGTGCTGTGGCTTCATGGACTGCCCACAGGCCATCTGTCATGAATTGGATGTATGGGGAATTACTAGCTTAAAAATAAAATTTACTATTTAAATCGTTAGACAACAGTGAGTTAAAGTATTATTTCATCAGTATTTGCATTTTCTTTGGATTAAATATTGTATCTCTAAATTAGTTGGTTTTGCTTGCTTTGTGTATAAACCTTTGAAACTGCTATATTGGAAGAGCTTGAAGTGATCACTTTACACTTTTAAACAGCCTGACTTCTAAGCATGAATAAATGACAGTTTGTATTTAGAACTTATGCCATCATTGTATTCCCTGTTTACATATATCTCAGTTACTGGTGTGAACTAAATATTTTATTTGCTACAGAGCTACAATTAGCATAATAGAATGATTGTTTGGTGATTAAGTTTATACTGTAAAATTTGATGGTGCATTTGAATATCAGTACAACTAACTAGCAAACTTTAAGACCTAGCTTGTAAACCAGCTCAGTGACAAGTTTTTTAAAAACATGACAAAAAATTATTTTTTATGTTACTGCTTTGCTTTACTGATGAGTTTATGTAATTGCCTGTGTAAGGCTTGCATAGTCTGTGTGAGATCTGGGGTATTGCTGAAGGCGAACGGAATAGCATGGAGGCAGGGGTTTTTTTGCTGGCCAAAACTTTCAGAATGGGATACTTAATCTTGAGCCTTTGTTGTATTTAAGACAGGTTGCATAAAGGTGGTCTCATTTTCAAAGCTGCTGACTGCATAGAGATATTATGACAGTTTAAAAATGAGGGGTATTTTTTATTTTTCTAAATCTGAGGTTTATACGCAGAACATGTCTGCACAATCAGAGAATGTGCTTATGTCCCAGGGATTGGCGTCACTTTTTTACAATTTTCTTTTCGGTTGTGTATGAGCTTTTTGGTTCAACTTGTGACACAAAATTTTTAAGCAGCTGGTAAATGTCATGGTAAAAGTAAAGGCAGTCATTCAAACTGATGCCAGTATTTTGCTTTTCATGAATAGTATCCCAATAATCCTTAAATTTCCTTTTGGTTCATTGTCTAAGTAAAGAAGAGCCTATTGCTGTGGCTTGAGTAGTATTTTTTTTGTAATTACTTTTTTCCCTTCTCTTTTCAGACTTATGATGCCGTTTCTCTGTAGAGAAATGGTGGAACTCTTCGACAAGAGCGACAGCGTAGTCAACCACACCAGTTTATCAAACTATGCATTTCTTTATGGAGTTTTTCCAGCAGCACCTGGTGTCGCAATATTTGCAAGTCAATTTAATATGGAAGTAGGAATTGTATGTAGTTAGCTTTTCCCAAACATATACTAACTTTGAGCGTAACTTTGTTGATGAAATACTTAAATAGGCTTGACAAATTTTTGCTTTTCTGTTGTATAGGCTCCTTAGATTTACTTGTACTCCCTAGATCTGAAATATAAATTATATTTCAGATTATTAATTAAGCAAAATACTCTTTCCTGATGTCTCCAGTGTCTTGATAGTACACATTTCTAAATAAGTCCTCATGGGGAGGAGTATACAGGAGTCCTCCTTGGGGAGGTGTACACAGCACCGGGCCTGCTGGCGACAGGTGGAACTCAGCTATCTCAAAAGGGAAAAAGAATTCTTGGCCACGAGCTGGCTGGGCTCATTGAGAGGGCTTTAAACTAGATTCGAAGGGGGAAGGGGATATTGCCCAGCTCACTAGGGATGAGCCTAGGCTTGGCGTGCCAAGGCCAGGGGTGAGATTGACAGCCCAGCTCAAGTGTGTTTACACCA